TACATTGCTGGTAGGAATGTAAAATGGTGCATCCACAGCGGAAAAGCTCAGTGGCTCCTCAGTAAGTTAGTGGCGCCTCAGTAAGTTAAGCAAAGAATTACCACCTGATCCAGAAATCCCACTCCTAGGCATACACCCCAAAGAACTATAAACTGGTGTTCAAACAAAAATTTGTACATGAATGTTCAGAGAGGTACTACCCACAGTAGCCAAAAGATGAAAATAACCAAAATGTCCATCGACTGATGAATGTTTGATAAACAAAATGTGGTATATCCATACAATGGAATATTATTCAGCCACAAGGAATAAAATATTGACACATATGCTACAATATGGAAGACCCTTGAAAACATTATGCTAAGTGAAAGAAACCAGTTACAAAAGTCCATATAGTGCATGATCCCATTTATATGAAATGTCCAGAATAGGCAAGTTTAGAGACAGTAAATAGATAGGTGCTTGCTTAGAGCTTAGGGTGGGGGTGGAAAGACAAGGGAAAACTGAATGCTAATCTACTGGGTACAGGATTTCTTTTGGGGAGGCCAAAAAGTCTAAAATCAAATTTTATTGATGGCTGAATGACCCTGTGAATATACTAAAAAATAACAGATTGTACACTTTAAATCAGTGAAGCTTATGGCATGTAAATTGTATCACAATAAAGTTTTTTTAAAAACTTTTAAAAAACTGTTTGGATATAAATGTTGCAATTGCAGCTTAACACTCACCTTCTCCATGACACTCCCCTCATCTCCAATTCCTTTAAAATCAGAGCTATTACAGTGACAGTTTACATTTTTGGTTACTCTAGAACCTAATTATGTTGAGAAAGTGACTGAAGCTTGATAATTTGTATTACACAAGACTTCTGTCATTCCAGTACTTACTTTGGAGTTAAATATGCCTTTTTTGTGAGTCAGATGCCCAGAGCTTGGAATTATTTGCTGTATGAAGCTCCCTAACTTGTTTCACTTTTCAAACTAGACTTTAAGTTCCAAAGGCAGAGTCCATGACTTCCATTCCTTCTGAATCCCCCAGCGGAATGTAAAAACTCCAGAAAGCATTTCCTAAATGCCTGCTGAAAGAAGGCTACTGAGCATGCCCGGCTTGGACAAGTCAATTCAACAACATTCCGGAACAAAAACTACAGTTCCCGCGTTACCAGGTGGAAACAGGGAAGAAACAGGCACAAAGCCTAAGGATTTAATCTAGGATTCAATCTAGAAAAGGGGTTAAAGAAAGGCAAGGTCCAAGGGCTTAGCAGAAGTGAAGGGCAGCACTTTCGCAGCTCTTACTCAGTAAAGTGGTGTCGAGTCAGAACGACCAAAATAAAGCTAAAAAATACAAGATTAACAAGTGAGGGAAGGTCAACTGGGAATGCAGTACGCCAATGACGTAGTCTAACCACACGTTTTTCTAAAGCTGCCCTCTCCAAAAATAATACTAAGATGATCATCAGGCCATCAGCGTCAACACTAATACAAGATATACTGTTATGAAGTTCACTTCCAAGAACTTCCTTTTTATAAATGAAAAAAGCGAGCCGTACCCAAGACATATACCAACCATCAACGCTTGCTAAGCTCTCGTCTCCTGCCTTCATCTCCACCGCCATCTTCTGGATGGGAACCCAGAACCTTTCTAATGGGCTTTCACCAGCATCACCTCCGCGCAGAGCCCGGGAAGGCTGCGTTTCTCAGGTCGCCCAGACGGCGGAAAGGGGAAAACTCCACCTCGCACTTCTCGGTGCCTCCCAAATGCACGCACTGGGTCGCCGTCTTCCCCCCGCCCTGCCCCGGCTTTCCAAGGTCCGGCGCGAGGAGCCCGTGAGGCGCGGTGCGCGGGCCTCACCTGCACACGCCGCGGATGCAGGGCTCCAGCCAGATGCGGTAGGCAGTCTCGATGTGCTCCTGCGACACCTCCTCAGGGCGCACGGTCTCCGCCCAGCGCCAGGCCGCCTTCTCCAGCTGCAGCCGCGGGGCCATGGCCTTGGCCCGAGGAGCGCCTCCCGAGCCGGGACGCCACTGCCGCCGCCGCCACCTCCGCTGCCGCCCAAATGGTCTCCGCCACCTGCCAGCGATGACGACCAGGCGCTCCCTTAGGCAGCTGGCCAGTCAATCACCTGTGCGCGCCACGGCTGCCGCGCCCGCCCGCGCCCGACCCGCACGACCGGCCGCAAAGCGCCGCCGCCGACACCCGACACCCCCCGCGCCTGCGGACGTTGGAGGTGTACTCCCCGCCGCGGTGGGCGCATGCGCATGCCCAGAATCCTCTGCGCCGCCTCCGCCTTGCCTGTAGCTCTACAGGCGGAGGAAGGGGAAGCGTCTGCTGGAGGCGCCACGTCCTCACCTACGCTGCTGGGGCGGCAGCGCCTCAGACCCTGTCCAGGGTAGCGTCTTGAATACCACTATTCTTAACAAGCCCGCGCCTCAAGGGCGGGAGGCTGACTGTTCTTTTCTCTGGTACTTCCCCCTTAACCGTGAAGGAGTCACGCTAGAGGCTACCCAACGCACACCATAGGTCCGCCTAAACTGCAGGGTGGGACCTGCAGTTTGGAGTAGAAACCAGGTCGCCAAAGAAACCAGGGTCAGCTCTCTGGAGGAAGATTTAACTTGAGCCTGGACCGGTTCCGACTCCTTTCCCCAGCACTGCTGACGTCACTAGACGTTCTGGGCTTTTCCTGAGCTATAACGGGACTACGTGTCCCGGCATGCCTTGCTTCCTGTCACTCACTGAATTTGAGGCATGCTGGGATTTGTAGTCCTCGAGGTGGGAGGGCTCCGTACGCTGCAGATGGTGCGGGATGGGGTTTTTCTGGGGAGCAGGGTAATGCTTGCAGTTGGCTCCCTCCTCAAGACTTTTATCTCTAAGTGATGATTTTCTAGTTTTGTGAATCTCTTCCTTGCCCTCGAGGTTTAAAAACTTCCTCTATGCATCTCTTGCCTTGGGACACAAAGAATAGCCTTATCAGAATTGTTTTGCAAACTGTAAAAAGCTCTGCCTGAGTGAGGAAGTTTGAGAACTTTACATTTGAATGAGAGCCCTGCAGGGGTCTAAGCACTGATTTTTTTACTGTAATGCTTACCAGCTGGGTGTGCAACCGTGGACTAGATTTTTTAAACAAGCCTTCACTGAAGGCTCACCAAAGATAAGATATGGTTCCTGCCCTTGGGGCTGGTTGAGGCGGAAGTGGTAGAAACAGAATAAAGTCCCCTTCCCGGCCTCGAGGTAGTTTGGAGTACCTAGGAAAAGGATTCCCATAAGTTACCCCTCAGCCCAGAAGATGGGGATCATTTCCGCGCAGGAGTTCAAGACCAGCCTGAGCAAGAACAAATCCCCATCATCTCTACTAAAAAAATACAAAGAAATTAGCTGGACAACCAAAAATATATAGAGAAAAAAATTAGCCAGGCATGGTGGCGAGCGCCTGTAGTCCCAGCTACTTGGGAGGCTGAGGCAGAAGGATCGCTTTGAGGTTGCTGTGAGCGGGGAGACGCCACGGCACTCACTCTAGCTAGACAACAAAGCGAGACTCTGTCTCAAACAAAAAAAAAAAAAAAAAATACAAAGAAATTAGCTGGACAACCAAAAATATATAGAGAAAAAAATTAGCCAGGCATGGTGGCGAGCGCCTGTAGTCTCAGCTACTTGGGAGGCTGAGGCAGGCAGAAGGATCGCCTGAGCCCAGGAGTTTGAGGTTGCTGTGAGCTAGGCTGATGCCATGGCACTCTATGTGGGCAACAGAGTGAGACTCTGTAACAACAACAACAACAAATGCATAGAATTAAGTCAGGTTAGAAGAAAGGCACCATTCCAGACAATGGGAACCATTGGAGAGAAGGCACAGAAGAGAGAAACTTGGAGAGGGAGGGCCCCAAATTCTGAGACAGGGACACGTGAGAGATAAGGACACTTGAGAGGAAGGCCAAGGGCTTGCCTTTATCCAAGGGACTCATTAAAAGGCTTAAAGCTGTTGAGGGATATAATGGAGATTTGCATTTTGTATACCTTCTTCAGCTTAGGTTGAGGTGAGAGGCATAAAAACCCCTTGTTAGACTATTGCAGTAAGGCAGGCCAGAGATGATGAAGGTCTGAACTAGGGTGTTGTAATAGATATGGAAGGGGACAAATTTGAAGGATATTTAGGATATAAAATTATTACAACTTGATGCTGTTGCCCTGACTAATATCTCTTCATCTTTCTGTTATTTGACCTTGAAGCCTGGGTCATCGCCTTTCCCCCCTTACCCAAAGCTGTGTCATCCATTGCCTCACTAAGCACATGATGAAATCGTGAGTGTCAGGCCAGGTATGGTGGCACACACCTGTAATCCCAGCTACTGGTGAGGCTGAGGCAGGAGGATCACTTGAGCCCAGGAGTTCGAGGCTGCAGTGAGCTATGATAGTGCCACTGCACTCCAGCCTTGGTGGTAGAGCAAGACCCTGTCTCAAAAAAAAGAAAAAAAGAAAGAAAAAGAAATTGTGAATGTCATTCACCATGCCTTCACTACTTTATGCCAATTTTCTAACTTCAGTAGTTAAATGGATATTATTTTTACCAAATGAAATAGAAAATACAGAAGAAGGAATGAATTTAGAAGGAAGACTCTTTCTTTCTTTTTTCTTTTTTTTTTTTTTTTTGAGACAGAGTCTCACTTTGTTGTTGAGGCCAGAGTGAGTTCCATGGTGTCAGCCTAGCTCACAGCAACCTTAATCTCCTTGGCTCAAGCAATGGGACTACAGGCATGTGCCACCATACCCAGTTAAATATATATATATATAATTAGTTGGCCAATTAATTTCTTTCTATTTTTAGTAGAGATGGGGTCTTGCTCTTGCTGAGCTCTTGCTCAGGCTGGTTTCGAACTCCTGACCTTGAGCGATCCCCTCGCCTCACCACCTCTCAAAGCTCTAGGATTACATGTGTGAGCCACCATACCCGACCTATTTCGTTTTTTTTTTTTTTAGACAGAGTCTCACTTTGTTGCCCAGGCTAGAGTGAGTGCCATGGCATCAGCCTAGCTCACAGCAACCTCAATCTCCTGGACTCAAGCAATCCTTCTGCCTCAGTTTCCCAAGTAGCTGGTACTACAGGCATGTGCCACCATGCCATGCTAATTATATATATATATACTCTTGCTCAGGCTGGTTTTGAACTCCTGACCTCGAGCAATCCGCCTGCCTCGGCCTCCCAGAGTGCTAGAATTACAGGCGTGAGCCACGGAGCCCGGCCTCATTTTTTAATATATTGCATTTCAGATGCATCAGTGACATCTGTGTAAGAGATGTCTGTAACAGAGTAGTCACCCCTCCTCTCATAGATACAGAAGGGAAATATTGACAGTGGGGAATATGTAACAGAGGGAATGGCCTGAAAAAACTGGCAAAAGTATTTTCTGTCTCTTTAAAACGTCCTCCACTCCTTTTTTTTTTTTTGAGACAGAGTCTCGCTTTGTTGTCCAGGCTAGAGTGAGTGCCGTGGCGTCAGCCTAGCTCAACAGCAACCTCAAATCCTGGGCTCGAGCGATCCTTCTGCCTCAGCCTCCCGAGTAGCTGGACTAGCCATGAGGCACCATGCCCGGCTAATTTTTTTTTATATATATATCCAGTGCCCATTAATTTCTTTCTATTATAGTAGAGAAGGGTCTCGCTCTTGCTCAGCTGGTTTTGAACTCCTGACCTGAGCAATCCGCCCGCCTTGGCCTCCCAAGAGCTAGGATTACAGGCGTGAGCCACCGCGCCCGGCCCCTTCCACTCCTTTTTGAGAACTGAAATCTGCATCCCTGCCTCAGGCCACTGTTTGGGAGGGGCAAAGGAATGTCCTTTACTCTTTGTGCTAAGAGAGATGGCTAAACTGGAATTCTCCAGGGAGGTCTAGGCGGAGGTCTGGAGATTGTCTTCCTCAGTGATAAGATGGATGGGAACCGTCAAATGCTGTTGAACAGCAATTGCCTGAAGCTGAATGGCCTCCCTTTAAAGGCTCTGTATATATCTACCTATTTTTAGGATGCTGGCATTTCAACCGAAGACTCCATCATCCTCCTTTGCCAGCAAATAAACTTCTGTTTCCTTCTCCTCAAACCACCTGTTCTGGTTTTTGTTCTGATGCGGCCTTGAGGACAAATGCCAAGCTTTCAGTAACACATCCATGTCTGGGCAGCAGACGTGAGTCTGAACTCAGGGACTATATTGCTCCTGCATCGTGAATTTTGCAGTCTCTGCTGGATTATTCTCATCAACATTCAAGTACGTCTTAATTTCTCCCAAGTTTAATAAAATTTCTGTTGACTCCCACCTCCCCCTCCAGCCACTATCCCATTTCTCTGCTCCCCTTTATAGCAAAACTCCTAGAAAATGTCAACAGAAGAGATCCCAAACTCTGTAAAATAGTTTAAAGAGATTTATTCCAAGCCAAATATGTGCCCCTGTGACCCGGAGAGCCATGCCCAAGAAGTCTTGAGCAAGTGGTCTCGCTGTGGTTGGCTTATAGTTTGGTTTTATACATTTCAGGGAGAATAGGAATTACACATAAAGTCATAAATCCATACCTGGAAGGCATACATTGGTTTGGCCTAAAAGGGCAGGACATACCAAAGTGGGGCAATACAGGTTATAGGTGGGTTTAAAGATTCTTTGATTTGTAATGGGCCAAAGAAATGAAGCTTTAGGCTAGGCATGGTGGCCCACACCTGTAATCCTAACACTCTGGGAGAATGAGGCAGGAGGATCGCTTGAGGTCAGGAGTTCAAGACCAGCCTGAGCAAGAGCAAGACTCCGTCTCTACTAAAAATAGAAAAAATTAGCTGGGCAACTAAAAATAGGAAAAAAAAAATTAGCCGAGTGTGGTGGTGCGCGTGCCAGTAGTCCCACCTACTCAGGAGGCTGAGGCAGGAAGATCGCTTGAACCCAGGAGTTTGAGGTTGCTATGAGCTAGGCTGACGCCATGGTACCTGGATAACAGAGCAAGACTCTGTCTCAAAAATAAATAAATAAATGAAGCTTTGTCTAAAGGCTCGGAATGTTTTTGTAAGGCTGGTGGTGGGCCCCCTTCCCTTTTCTAGATCAAAAAA